CTTTATGTAACTGTGGCTTATAGCAATTCAGAATGAGATGTCTAGTGAAAAAAAATGACAATTAAATGATTAAAACTCTCAGCTAGCATGGTTAATTCTGGGGCCTGCATTAATGTAACTACTTTATTATTTTTCTCCTCGGACATTAGATTTACAACCCATTATGTCTCCATGTGGAGGCGCTTTATCTGTATTTATGCAATGTGGAATACATTGGAATGTTGCAAATAACAAGTTTACAAGTTTAAAACATTACACAATTCTTGGGGGACTGAAGTACATTGTTGGCTTAGATATAAAAAAAAAATAATGGTAACTTTAAAAATCATGTAAAATTCAGTAGCTGAACCTGATGCTTGTTTCAGTGCAAATATATCATGTGTTTGGAAAACACTTCTCTAGAGTTTTTGTTAAATTTGCAGAAGGAGAACAGATTTTTTTCCCCTTGGGGGAAAAGTTTTGCCAGTGGTCCATCCGGTGTCCTGAAAATTACCCAGTTTTGTCCACAACCTGAGAAACTCGTGTTGCTAGCTTTAGTTACCCTTTGATTTTTGTTTTGCTTCTGACCCCGACCACATCAGTGTGAATATTTTTCCAAATGCAGATTTTCTATAATAGTTTCACCTCATGTCAACAAACGAAACGTTTGAACTGAATTTTTTATGGAAAAGCTGTAAATGTGTTTAGTCAGATTTTTAGGGGAGGTTTAAAAAGCACTGAATGTGGTATGTATATGTCAACTAGACATCCTAAGGTTACCACAAACAATGACAAAAGGCCAAGATAGGTGACACACATACTGTACATAGACTTAACAAATAAAAAATACACTTCATTCCCTCATGTTTAAATGCCTGTAGAATAAATGCAAACATACGTGTCAATATAAACAGCCATGTAACATCTTTAGTATTAAATGTATATTTAATGTTTTGTAACGTTAAATATCTCTATAATATGGATGTTTATGCAAATATGTGCTGGGTTCTTAAAAGGCACAGTGAGGTGTTTTTCCATGTCTGAATGAATGTTGTTTTTAATGTCTTGTTTCTTTTCCCACCAGGACTAAAATAAAAACAAAGTGGGAGGTTGTATTTTAGGCAGGCTGTGTGCAGGAAATGATAACCTAGTCATGTCTCTCCCCACAGAATATTAGACCGTTAAAGCTCCTCTAATTCTTAAGTGGTCATGTTGCTCTCCTCCCTCTGCAAACAGTGAAAAGTTGCTCGTGGCCACTGGTGAGTCAGTGCTGATAAGCTAAAGGTGTAAGACTGTGCTTATAAAATGGGTTTATAATATAATTTGACGGTTTTTCCTGAGGACTTTTGTGCTTTGCAGAAACATAGCTCATATTGTGTGGTTTTAACAGCAGGCGGAGGGCAAATCTTACTTTTGGAAGTTCTTAAATGAATTCAAATAACGTATTTAACAAGCTTATTTTGTGGTGCTGTGATTTGTTTGAGTAAAATGTTTAAACTTTTTTTTAAATATTCTTTTAAATAAATGCATGTGGTTCAGTCTGTAATTGGCCAGAGGCAAAATACCCAAAATACTGCTTTTCCCCGTATGTTTTCCGCTGCAATGAGCAGTACTTTATTGATCTCTAATGATCAGCTGCTTATTTCACTTCTTGAAGAAGAGAAGCTGCCAACACCTGTGACCAGTGATGGAAATCGTTTGTTTTAATTGGCAGCATCTGAATTAAAGCACAGAGAAATTGGCAGGTGTATGGAATCGGTCAATTTCTACGACTAGTTTGTTTCAGGCACTCAGGAAAATAAAATTCTGGCTTCTTTAAAGTCAGTGAACACACCACATGGTTCAATACTTTTTGGTGCATAAGCTGTTGTTGAGGGAAGTAGACTCAAAATAAGATGTTTTAGGGAGTGCAATGTGCTTTAATATGAAGTCTGAGAAAGCACACAAAAAATCGCTAAAATCTATTTAAAAGGTAACAATATTATTTACAACATATCGAAACATGCCTGTGTTTCATTCAGGCTGGGGGAGAGGGCAAGACTTTGTTGAGATAACAGGAAGGCTGAGTGGAGTACTGCAAAGTTGATATATTATCCCTTTGAACTCTCAATATCAGTTTATCATGTCATTTGGGATTCTTCTGTAACATTCACTTTTTGGTTTAAGACTTTAATTTTAGTTTTATGAGTTTTCCTTTGTTGGTAGGTCCTATTGTATTTTGGTTAACCTCCTCCTGTTTGTCTTCTCAGCCTTTTACCGTCTCCTCTCCCCGCTCGGCTGCCATTAATTTTGTTTATTTGTATGTGCCTGGTTTCCAAGTCACCATCACACTTCCATTGTATGTAAGCTCCCTGGTTTCTTTGCTCATTACTGGATTCTTGTGTTGCTCTCGTCATTGCTCCGTGTTCTTATTTTTCTCATTTCAAGACTGTAAGTTTTTCATTTTATTTATTATACAATCCTCCTAACTGCATCTACCTGCTGATGCCCTGCCTGCATTTGAATGCTGCTAATCCAAAACACTTAATAAGACACCTTTTGGAAATAATAAACTCTGGTGAATGCACACTAATACACACTGCATTTTTAGTAAAATAATGAGTGGCATGCTTGGGTTCTCTCTGAGTACTCTGGCTTACTCTCCCAATCCAAAGCTGCATATCAAGTCAATGTATCTCTCTAAAATTCTCAAATGTTGTTATATCCTCACCCAATGAACGCTGAGGATACACACCAGCGCTCTCATGACTTGGCATGGTTAAGCGTGTATAAATGATGAATAGAAGTTACCAAATGTTCTCGTCTTATAATGCTTATCATCCTGTCAAAGTTTTACAAAAACCAGAGATGCACTGTGATTTGGACATCTGCATTTTATTTCAAAACCTTGCATATTTCAGCTTTTTTTTTATTTTTTTATTTAAAAAGTGATCTATCAACCAAAATATGTTGAAGTTCTTTACACATGATTTATGTGCTACTTGGCCTTTTTGAAGGCTGTTGTTCATTCTTTAGTAATTTTCTTGTGTAAATACACAGCTAGCGTGTATACAAACCGGCAGTAAACTCTAAGAAAATTATTAATTTCAAGAATCCCACAAATTACAGTAACTATCAATAAAATGTAGTTTCCCTCTTGAGTCAAGCAAACATTATATGTCTAAATGGCAGATAATATTATTGGTTCTGCTGGAAAAACAGTCTAAAATCTGTACACACATAAATATACACTTTATACCTGCTCTGTTAATGGAGCACTCATGTGTTATATAATTGGGTTTTAAAGAATATTGGAAGGTTTTTCCATTGGCATCCCTCACCTAGAATAAAGACATTCCTCTAATGAGTAATGGTTTCTGTCTTTTCTCAGGATGTTTTGAAATATTCCACAGATGCAAAATAGGACATTAAATCACAGCTAAACGCCTGGAATGAAATAAACATCCAAAGTTCTTTGCGAGGAGAGATTTCCAAGATTGATTTCAACTCTAAGTGTTTATCAATTTTAGCACGAAGGTAGGAATTTTCCTTTAGGCCCAAATCTTACGGACGAAAGCAAGAATTCTAATCAATAAACTATCGTTAGTTATTATTCCAGTCACTATCACAGTTGCTGATGTGTGAATGTCAGTGAGCATGGAGTTTGACAGTCGGTCTTAAAAGGATATTATTTTACTCTGTTCCCAGACACTGTCAAGAACAACTTTTGCTTGAAACTATGTGAATTTGTCCCCTGCCTGCATTAAAGACAAGGTCTGGAAGGAAGGTTTTCTTGGCACCAGTCACCACATGGTTCCCCCCACCCCTCCAAAAACAAAAAAAAAAAAAAAAAAAAAGTTCCTGGCACTTGAGAGAAGAACAGTGAGTGCTCAAAGAGCTGTCACCCCTCACTGTGAATCATCCAGTGCTGCATTAACATATCCTGGGTCCTGAGACTTCTAACTTTTCACATATTTGACATTGGTGAACCGATCCAAGTTTTACTGAGGCCGAATGGTTTCATTGAGTAGGCATGTGGTAGGATTTAACTAGGTATAGAAGTTATACATTCTCATGGAGTTAACACACGACTGAAGGGGCAGTACTATGTGTTTTCCAGGCACGTAGTGGCATTTTAATAGCACAACGAACTGACTGTAACCTCCAGCTATTATAAATATACTGCATACATAAAATACTACTTGAGATATTTAACATTGATGCCTTAAAATTGGGCCTCTGTCTCATTCATGCATCCCCTACCCTCTGTTCCTCATTTCATATTGATTTCCAAAGCACTGCATGGTTAATATAATATAATATAATATAATAAATTTCAAGGTGCAGGTAAATTCATTCATCTGCATCATTTTAATGCAAAATAAGTGTTAATTGTTGGGCTGCTATTGCCTGACAACTAAAAGGGGGAACAAAGCCCCACATAGCCCCTTCAAAAGTGAAAAAAAAAAAATTATTTAACTAATGACACCACTTAAAGTTACCATTAAGTCTTTTACAAACTGCTGGAAGCTGCAGTCATTAAAGGATTTGTCAGGATTACGGAGCTCGGTGGTTGTTGACTCGGCCTCCTTGCGAAGCGTCTCTGTTTACCATATGACTTTTGGTTCATAGAGAAGGGGCTTTGAGGCTTCCCATAGCTGGCCTGAGAGCAGGTGGCAGACCGCTGGAGGGCGTTTGTTTGATTTAGTCTGTGAATATAATTTGGCATAATTTTTATTTCCAAGCTTTGAGCCAGTGGTGTTCTCATGTCCCCATGGCTTGTGCTCCAGTTCCAGAAAGCGACACCAGTCCTTTTCGTAAATAAAGGGAAAACAATTGGACTGCAGTTTTGTTTTGTTTTGTTTTTTTAATGCAGTAGAAAAATAAAGAACATTTAATCTTAATTACTCAATTACTTTTCTGGAGCACAGGTTACTGGAAACAAGTTACAAGTTAACATAAAAACAAATACAGTGGTTGTTTTTATTTAGTGACAGATTCAGATGTGCTCCACTTTATCTTCTGCTCTGTTTTTTTTCCAGGTCTTTCTGCTGCTGTCCAGAAGTTCTCCCAGTCATTGCAGGAGTTCCAGTTTGAGTGCATAGGTGATGCTGAGACAGATGATGAGGTCAACATCGGTAAGAGTCATTTGTCACAACTCTGTCGTTTGTCTCAGGTTCATTACTGAAACTTCTGTAAAGTCACTGGAGGGAGAACTGTTGCTTTATTGCAATTTGAAATGCAAATTACACCACTTTTGTAAATTATAAAAAATAAAAAATAAAAGAGAGACTCATGAGACTCAAATGCATGAGAGGAGGGCCAAGGAACAAACCCTCATGACCGGATATGTTTTTTTAACATTTGGTTTGTGATGCTCATTCTTTGCTTCCTTGAACTTCAAGATCGTCCCATATAGGCTATAATTCCACTTTTCATTATGATATTATGCCTTTCCTGTAATAATCCTGTTTTAATTGGCATTTGCAATTTTCTTCTCTCAAATCAGTTTAATTCTTAGACCCGCGCCCTAAAAGCTTTAAGCAATAGTTAACAGTTTATTTCCTCCTGCGATTTATGCATCATGCTCAATTCTCTTTCAGTGCCTTGCATTGTAGCCCTGTGACTTCATATCATTTTTAATGGTGTGAAACTAATACAGTATTCCATTTGATGCACTTTAAAACATCTTCAATCAAACGATTATGTTGTCATTGTGAAGAAATGGATAAAAACCAGCCCCCTTTCCACTCATGGAAACCTCCATTTATTGCTTATTTTGAGCAGTTATTTGCTGCAGCGTCGTCTGGTCTGGTTTTATGTTGGGGCTTTTTCATAAATGTTCTTACTATTTGCAGCTATTTAGTATTCATGGTTATTATGTGCAAATGACCTTTTGCCTATAATTGCAAGCGTCTTTTGACCCTTCTGTTTTGGAAAGCTCTTTACCTTGTTTTTCCTCTTTGACCCATTTGCTCAAACATTCACACACCGGTCCAGCTGAGCTGCCATGCAGAGGTGCCTGTCTGTCACCACAAGCCAACTGTAGATCAGTATATTGCCTGAGGTTACAATAGTTTAAGGTGGGGGCAGGGATACAAATGCCAGCTGTGCTTTTTCAGTGCAATTATGCTTGTCTGCGAAAGGGAGAACACACAACCTTGGCCTTTCTCCAAAACTTGCAACATGCATGCTAATTGGCTGTTGGAATTTACTAAACAGATTAGCACATTTTGCCAGATTGGCATGCACATACACACAGTCCAAAAAGAAAAAAAAAAGAAGAAAGAAGAGTACATGGTTGGAGCTATTGGGCCAGTGCAGATTTTATTCATCTCACAAATGTACTTTTCACACTTGTATTGTGTTGCAACTACAAAATCCAGCCTTTTTGTGGTTTTATTTTAAGCAAAACTGTGAAAAAACTGTGTTCTAATTTGTTTTTTACAGTAGTATCTTAAAATGTCTGAGAACCAGTTTTCTAATTGAAAAATAGTATTTGGAAAAGGAATGTCCTATGGCTTAAGTGAACTTTTCAACAAGCTAGGAATAATTAGTTATCAGAATGCTAACTCTTAACTCTGGTTGGGCCAAGGCTCTGAAACCTGTAGCTCCGGCTATGTGGGCCTCCTAAAGAGACTCCTGATAACCTTGAGCAGTAATATTGTAAAACCAAGCAGTTTTCTGATATTTAAAGGGAAGATGAAAGCCATTTATGTAAAATCTGCAATAATATGAACAGAATGACAATGATTTTTGTGTGTATCAGTCTACAAACCAATGAGCTCCTTAACTATTCTTTCATTACTATTTTTCTTTACGTAGTGATCATTCTATTATTTTAAATATTTTGTTGTGTGTTTTTTTTTTAATCAGAAAATGTAATAAATTATTTTAAGTGCCAACATTTTTAGATTTTATGTAGTAAAAGCACAATTTATCCTTACTGCATGATTGCAGCATGAAATATCAATATGGCAAAAAAAAACAAAACAACAACAACTTCTTTTGTATGAAATAAAATAATGATAATAAAAAAAAAACAGTGAGATATTTATTGATAAACTTAACACCCAGTCTTTCATTACAAGTATTGAAAAGGTAGATGGATACAACTTAAAAACAAACAAAAAAAAACAAAAAAAAAACAGATTAATGAGTTGAACATAATCTACTGAATTTATTTTCCAATAGCTGGATAGTCTGTCTGGGTTTTAGTATTAACGCTGTTTAGTTAAGTATTTGTTCACATATCATCATAGCTTTCACCTGATTTAATGCCTCTGGCAAGTTTTTAAAAATATGCAGCAGTCCCAATTAGCTAATACTTTAAAAATATGATAAGCTGATGTTTGTTTAGTTTTTTTTTTTCATTTTGTGAAAGGTTGTGTAGATTTTGCGGTTCCAGGCAAAATTGTTTTTGGAAATCTGAGGGGAAAAATGGCTCTTTGGATTGTAAAGTTTGCAGACCCCTGGGCTTGACGTTTAGGTTTATATATGTTTTAATGCTAACAAATAGCCCATATTGCCTCTTCTTATTTTCACATGGATTCTTGTGCAGCCTCTTGTCAAGCCACCAGGACATCTGAAGGACTAATTGTGATCAGTGTCAGAGATTAATGGAGGTGGAAATCGTCCAGCCTCCAACCGGTATATGAAAGCAGATGTGCAGGGGGATGCACCGACTCTAATGGGCAGGACTGTCAGTCTGGCTTCTTCCTTCGCCTCTTGTTTTGTATCCCACTCATTATCCCCAGCTTAAGTCCCCTGCTCCATGCCGTGGTCTGCTGAATTACTGACCATCTGTGAGGGCTGAACAGGATATCGACCTCCTCATCTTGAGACTTTAATGTTCATCAGAATGCTAAATGACCAGTGCCGCACAAAGCTGCGGTAACTGTATGGGGCGCGCTCGCTAATTATGTTAAATGGAAAAATCCACACCCAAAGTGAAGTCTCATTAGAATAAAGCACACTTTAATTTGAGGCAATGCTCACATTGCCAGCCCTGCAATAAGGATCTGTTGATCATAGATGGAACAATAGCAATCATAATCTCTCACCTATAAGTTGATTTTGGTCTTTATTAAGCAAACAATCAGCACACAGAAGTGAATTGACAATATGTCAGGAACAAATTTAAAATATAATATAAACTTGCCTGTGTTTTAATTTCGAATTCAGTGCCTGGCCAGTTTCCCATTTCCACTCTTAGCCACACTGCTGTATTCACTCAGTGTCTCAGAGAGAAAAGGCCATGATAACTATTTGAGGGGAAAAATGAAACAGCCTGTTGAAATCAATCTTCTCATCAATGAAACCAAGTTTCTGACTGACATAGCCAGACCCTTGAGTGAATGCCACCAAGGATCTTGATGCAGTATTGGTGCAGTCCACTTTGATGCTCCGAGCCTCCCCGCGAAACATTGGGATGTTGTGTGTGCTGTCAGACGGGTTCACCTGACCTTTTATTGATTTCCCTCGATGACTTCCTGCAGTGACATTCACATGCCAGTCAGTTATCTAGGAATCAATGGGGCCAAGGGATTGATGTGGCCATAGAAATTTAATTTTTTTTCTTAAAAGTTGAAGGACCTTTTCTCAGAAGGTCATTTATTGAGACCTTAACAGCTGTTAAAATCCTTTTTGGGGTGAAGAGAAATCTGATGTGAACGAGCCAAAATGAGCAATTAGATCTAGCATTAAAGGCCCACCTTATCCACACAAAAAAACAAAAACAAACAAAAAAAACAGCTGGTTTCCTGGCAGAAGTTATTAAAATGGTGATTTTTATAGCACAGTCAAGTAACTGTTGCCTTCAGTTGTTTTGAAAATCCTGGATATTTCAAAAATAACTTCAAATAAATGTGACTTTGTATCATAGCCATATCTGATGCCTTTAAATTGGCTTGCGTCTCTTTTAGAGGCTCCTACCCCTTCCAACACTAGAGGCAACGTTGATAGTTGGTTTTGTAACCAGTGGGTTCTTCTCTGTCTGTCTCTGTTTTTGTGTTCTTGGCACTTCACCCACCTTACCTGTTGGTGAACCAGCAAACCAGGTTGTTTTCCTAACTTAAAAAAAAAAAAAAACTTTACCTCGGTTCTTTTTTAACATACAACTTGTCTTTTTCTCGACTAACACTCTTTTTGTCCTGATTTAAAATTTTTATTTTATGTTAGACTTGAGGCTTCTTGGACTGCGATTTCTGATAAACAGCCTTTGCCAAAATTGTTTTAATGAAAACAACAAAATGTTATTTTTTTATGTGTAAATTTGAACCTATACATATTTCGGTGTAGATGTGAGTTTCACAAACTAAATAAATTCAGATTTTTGCGCCCAGTTATGTTTTTTTGGCTTATTTTTGTTATATATTTCCAGCTTGAAATAAGAAACTGGAAAACACAGATTAGTGTATGTCAACAATTCAGCATCGATGTACAGCATTAATAGTATTATTGAAAAACTCACACAAGAAATTTCTGTTTTTCTAAACGGATCTCTTTTATTCTCCAAGTGATTCTTCACATTTATTGCCTTTCCTCCATTTACAAGTGAATTATATGCAAGCTGTAACCCCACTTTGATTCCCATTTCCTTCCTAATCTTGTCCCATCAGCGGCTCCCGCTGTGGCCTTTACCCCCTCGTAGCCTTGCTCTGTTGATAAAGGAGCTGGTAGCATTCAAAGAAGGCCAGCTGCCTGCAAGATTGTTGGCACAAAATCATTGCTCCCTGGTTTTTGAAAGCTTTAGTGTGCAAATAGACCCGAGTGTCGACAATGATGCATGGGTCCCCTTGCCAGGCTGTCGGGGCTGATAATGATATTACTGTGTTGGCAAGCAGCACAGCTTGACCACTGCTAAATGCCTGGACATGCAGTGACATAGGGGCTCTCCAGCAGAGTCCAAATTGCATCAGGCCTTCTACTTAATGAAGCCGTGAAGCTATCAAGGCACAATTCTCCAGCAGATAAGGTGGAATACATTGTATTCTGAAATCATCTGGCCATGCAGGATGTAATCTAGGCTGCTGAAGTATATCCCAGATGGTGTGAACACATCTTCACCTCATCACTCTCTTTTACATTGGGGCAGTATATTGTGAAGCCTTGCAGGGGATGAAAGCAAAGAGAAGCGATCAGTGGAATCCATTGAATTGAGGTATTGTTTCTTACTGCTGGGTAAGGCTTGGGTTTAAATTGGACAGCTGCATGCTTTTATTACATTCTGAAATGCACTGCTCTGAAGGGTTTGAAGCTAGAAAGCAAATAAACATTTTGCACGATTCAGTCCTGTGGGAGGTGCCTGAAACATCACATCTTTAACGACTGCAGCACCGTGGTTTTTCTTTATGCTCTTGTCTCATCTTTCTGGTGCAAAGCTGCTGTCTGTTCGAGATATCTTGCATATCAAGACTTAAAACTATCAGTTTTTCCCTATTTGTTGTTTCTCAAGTTGTTTTTTTCTTTTCTTTTTTGCAGCCCAGTCTTTCAAAGAGTTCTCCCAGCTGCTGAACACTGTTGAAGAGGAAAGAAGGCGCCTGGTAAGAGCACATTAGAAACATGACAGGACTACAACAAAACACTGCTACCCCTTTTACTGTGTCAGTTGATCGACTGTGCTATTTATAACTTGATGTACAGGAAAAATAAAAAACACAAAACCCCACTTACAAA